ACTCTGCAGCGAGTGTGACAAACTCGTCAGTCCACCACACGGGCGGTTCACCGTCCCCCTCATCGTCCCCGCCTCTTTCAGTGCCCATGCTGGGACCTCAGGCGATACCCCGCAGACACGCACCAGTTGAGATTCTCCACAGGCAGAGCTCCTTCAGAGGCTTCCCGGCACTTAGTCAGAAGACATCTCCCTTCAAACGACAGCAGTCACTGCGCATGAATGACCTGCCCTCCACTATGCAGCGCAAGTCTGACTTCCCCATGAAAAACACAGGTGAGTCCAACTGTTACTGCCCTTGCAAATATGCACAATAAAATACTTCTACCATGTTCTTATAGCATATAAGCTTATGTTGACCTTTACCTCTTTTCTAATGTGCACCTCCTCCAGTCCTTGAGTTAGAAGGAGAAGGTGACAGCATCAGTTCACTGTGTACTCAGATCGCCACGGCCTTCAGTGGACCGCCAGAGGATCCCTTCTCTTCAGCGCCGATGCCTAAACCGGCTTCATCCCCACAGTCTCCTGTAGCACCGGGTAAAAACCTGTAAAACCTTCCGATCAGCTGTGTGTACTGTGAGAAGATCTGAATGAATCTACATTTAAATAAATAAATTTAAAAAAAAAAAGTAGTAGAGAAATAACTTTGCTGTTTACTGGTAAAAGGTTATATTTAGTTAGATCCTGTTGCAAGTTAAAGATTATTTTTAATACTAAACACACAATTAAGTGAAAACAGATAAGATGCTTAAAGTGGACCTATTATGTTTGTTTCATTTTTTAAATTAAATAATTTTTATTCTTTGACTATACTAGAGTAGCTCTGTATGATTCACAGCTCAAAATAATTGTTATGTATCAAACCATTTTAGCTCTTTTCCGCTTCCTTTTAATCTAAATGTATTCTAATTGGATGCCTCTTGTAATCAGAAGGGTTGATCAGCAAGCGAGCAGAGCTGTGCGACTGAGAAGGCCTTATTAGGGATGGTCAACAAGGCATTTTCAACTTGTTGATGCTGCTCACTGGACGTTTTATATTTTTGGACCATTCTCTGTAAACCCTTGAGATGGTCATGTAGAAAAATGTCTGTAGATCAGCAGTTTCTGAAATGCTCAGACCAGTCTGTCTGGCACCAACAGCCATGCCAGGTTCAGTCACTGAACTCTGTCATCATATGACAAAACATAAGAAAAAGTATAATAGGTCCACTTTAACTATTTGTTTTTTATGGTTTAGCTCAATCAGCTGGTGATTTTGCGTTTGCCAACTCAGGGAAATATAGAAGCACACACTAAAACCCTGGTTATTCACTTTTATGATCAGTGTTGTTTATTTCTCACAGTTTGGCTGAATTTCCCTATAATTCTGCTCTGTAGAAGTTCAGCCAGCTTCCAATAACTTGATGAATGTGTTGCTTGCAGTTTAAATTTGCAGTTGGAGAACGTGTGGCTGCTCATATTTTCTCATAACTTAGTGAATAACATTTATTTTGCGTGCAGTTTATGCCTCATTAGACTGCTAATTAAATGCAGAGTAACATTGTGCATGTCCAATGGACATCATCCATTGGACAGGCTTGCTTGTACTAGCTTCTGTCTCTTATTTGCTTTAGTGAATGGCACAACTCCTGCCTTCCCTGCTGCCACTACTGCTAACCCCTCAGTTCTCCCCCCTGCTCTGCCCGCTCGAGAAACTAACCCATGGGCTAAAAGCCCTGCAGGTGCAACGGCCTCGGCACAGACAGGTAAGCAGCTCATCAAAGGGTTTGGATTGAGAGTTAAAATTCAATATAATTCTTATAAGATCAGTCTAATGTGATGAGCAGTTTTTTCTAGTTAAACTGAATATGTGGGAAGAAGACAAGATTTGATCAAACCATTCAAATTTGTATGGCTTGCTTAAAAGGTGGTGTGGATTACTACAGATTAGCACATAGTAGGATCTGTCTTCTCTAAGGAAGAAGTGATTTTTATTAGAGTAGTCCCTAAAACATCTTGTCTTGCTATAGAACTGCTCTCCTAAATAGTACAACCCAGCAACTAAAGGTCAGATGTGGGGTAAGTTAGCAGCCCCCGGTTATTTAAAGCAGATACAGGTGAGGTATCCAAATCTTTTGTAGTACTTTAGAGCAAGAGAACAGGGTGGGATTATGATAACTAATGATTTTAAAAATCAGACTAAGAATGAATGCATTCATGGATCATTTAACTCAAGGATTAAACTTGGAAAAAGTGTTTTTCTTTCAGGTCTTTAAAAGGTTCTCCTTCATTCTTGCTCACAGATATCAGTAGCACGATCAACTTTTATTTTGCCTGATACTCTTTTTGCCTGCCTTTGCTTCTGTCTCACTGTTGCAGTGTCTCGTGTTTTTTCTGGTTAAATGTTGGCTCGAGACTCATTCTTGTACTTTCTGCTGACAGGAGGTGACTGGTCAGCTCCTACTCCAGTGATCGTAGTGCCCCCCACGTCTTCTCCAGCTATTTCCTCCCACAAACGCACACCTTCAGAAGCAGACCGGTGGTTAGAAGAAGTTTCCAAATCTGTCCGAGCCCCGCAGCCCAATCCGATCCTGGCAACTGCCTCGCCTCCTCCCCAGCCGTTCGTTGCCCCTGTGCCGATGCCCGTGGCTTCTGTACCTTCTGGACCCCCAGTGGCTTTTTTGCCCTCTATACCCCCTCCTGTGCCCATGTTGCCCCCTCGCCAGCCTGCCTTCCACGCTCAGGCTCCAGTCTCCCACCCGATGGCTAATGGCCTGCCGTTTCAGCCCAGCGTTCCTGTGTTTGGCATCACTCCTTCACAGATGGTGGCTAATGTGTTTGGCTCAGCCACACAACCCCAGCCGTTTCCCGGCCCGGTCTCCACGACGCCCCAGCATGACGCTCAGCCTGTCAGTAACATCAGCCCATTCATCAAGCCTCCGCAGTCCACCACGGCAATCCCCGCTCCCCAGCAGCCATCCAGTGACAGTGTGACCTTTAACGGGGCGGACAGCTGGGCTGCTCCATCTCGAATCGCTCAATCCTCCCCATCCACACAGCCTCCCCCGCAGCAGGAAGATGCCTTTGAGGCCCAGTGGGCAGCCCTGGAGGGCCGCTCACGCCAACGCACCACACCCTCCCCCACAAATCCCTTCTCTACTGAGCTACAAAAAACCTTTGAGATCCAGCTCTGAACACTAAGATTGAAGTTAGAAAGAACTGGACGTTAAGGACTTGGATTGGTTGAATTGACTAATTGACTAGAGCTCAGAATGTTGTTCTGCCTCTCTCGCTCTGTTTTAGTGGAAAATCTCAGTGGCGGCAGGGGGTGGGGGTGAAGCCTGTAGAGAACAGCGGGCAAATCAGAAGGGAGCAGAACCCTGTGTGACATTGAGAGAAGAAGGCAAAAAACAAAAATGAAAAACAGGGTGTATCCCCCTTCTCCCCCTCCCTGAGGCATTTCATTGGCATTGTCTGTATTATTTTGTTTCTGCTGTGGAGCGCAAGGTCGTCATAACTCTGTGGAATATCTGTGCCGAGCCACTCCCTGCAGCTCCTCCACCTTCCCCAGGTGTGGCAGCTTCCTTCACTACCCCAGGCGTGGCAGCTCCCTTTCACAAAGTCCAGTTCCTAGCGCCCCCTGTTGGCATGACAGAGGAATGCAGCAGTACTGAGAGAACTCAGCTTCCAGAATCTTAAGAATAGAGCGAGACGATGCCAAAATCTTTATTTTTATGCATTAAGTATATTTTAAATAGCTTTGGAATCTAACAGAAGAGTTGTAAGTAATCTTGCCAAAGGCACAGGCTAGCTACAATGAATCGAGTTTATGTTTGTGTATACAAGAAATGATCGTATATATTATACAAAAAAAATATATCTATAAAGAATCTATACTGTACACAAAGCTCACGGCAGTGCTAATTTTTAATGTGATGTAAAGAGATTTTGTGAAGGGACAGCTGCTTTACTTTTGTGTTTATTTGTTTTATTTTTGAAGACAAGTCTCTTTATTGCCATCTGTTGCATCCCGTGATTGATTGTTGCTGCAATGATACCCTATTTACAGTGAGATGCTTTACATCCAATGTGGACCTAGCGATGGTGGTGGTGCCCGACTGGTTGCCTCTCTTACCTGTGCTCAGTTTTTGACAGTTTAACTTCTTCTTCTGTCTTTATTGTCATTATTTTTATTTTCATTTTGTGTGGTAACTATCTTATTTGTTTTTATTTAACACTGTAGGATGTGTCATCTTGTTTTTAATCCACCTCTTTATTTTTTTTAAGTTTTAAGTTGGTAATTTTAGTTCTTTTTTTTTTTTCTTCTTCTTCTTTTTAAAAAAAAGTTTTTTATGCACAAGCACTAAAGTAGATGATTCGACATCACCTCCCAGGTGACCTCAATCGCCGACGGTTTGTCAGTTGTGGTACTGTAGGATCTGAGAAGCTGCATGCTGACTTACCCTGACCTCCGTTAGACAGCTGTTGTTCTGACGGGCAGCAGAAAAATGCAGGGAGATATTAATGGTTTCTCTCACTGTCTGATTTTTTTTTTTTCTCTCTGTCATGTTTTATTTTTTTAAATCAAACCTGTGAATATGATCTATTCTCTGATCTATTTTTCCATTTTGTAATTATTTCATTACTTCGTTCCACTTCTTTGGAAAAATACTGAAGCTAAAAGATTGAATAAATTTATGGTGGTAGAGGAAAAAGTGGTGTGTGTTCTTGATTATAAGCAATATACACTATGTGAGAAATCTCTTAACACGAATGACTAAATATGAACTTCTTACATAATTAGTTAAGTGAAATTATATTCATAGATTTATTTAAAAAGAAAAAGAAGAATATTAATTGGTTTCAGGTTGTAAAATTGATGATTTGTCATTTTTTTGTATGATTAAAAATCATGTCTTTGATTTAATGGGTAGTTGTTTTTTTGGGTTTTTTTTTTGACAAAACATACTCTTTTAGCAATTAGTTGCCACTGTACCAATGTAATATTAAATATTAATTACAGAAATGTGTGAAAGCTGTTGGCAATCACCTTACAAGTGCTCGCACCCAATCAGCACTGCCAGAGAGCTAAAATTCTATGGGCTCCAGTGGTCTGTTGTTATTGGTCCATCCCCCCAACAGGTGGCGCTGCAGCTTCATATAAATGCACTCTGGAAGAGATGGACGAGCACAGCAAACAAGTGTACATGTGAGATAAAGTGGCGTTGTGTTGTTCGAAAGTGTAAAGGTAAGCTGCAGAATACGTGGGATGATATGTACGTGTGCTACTTTGCGCTTAAAAATTAGCGTCCAGGTTGCATTTAAGAACGTATTGGGGCTGAAGAGCTCACAAGCTAACCGGTTAGCTCCAGCAGCTAACCCAGCTAACGTTGATTAAACTTTGCTTTGACTAAACTGGAGGACAGTAAACGGGATTAGAGGCAGAACGTAATTCGCGGTACGCCTTGCATTTAAAAGTGATAGACATTTGAAGAACTGAATTTATCCATGTTTATTTCTGCTAAAGCTACGTCGCAGAGGGAAGCTAGCAAAAGTTGTGTTAACAAACGGTATAGTAACAGCTGGCTGCTCACCTGATCGAGAGGTGTTTGCTCTTTGTAACAACTAACAATAGCTGTTTTTTTGCTGTGCAGTGATCTTATAACTCTAGCCTATCCTTACAAACCAGTGTCAGCTAAGTTGACCGATGTTACGCTAAATTCGCCCTTGTTTTGTCCCCCAATTTCCCCAATAATCCTAATCCTGTTTTAGGACCCGAAAGGACGTGCAAATATATAATTGCAGGATTACCATCAAGAGCTGCAGCTACTAACTAGACATGAGTCACGCTTCATTTCTTTTTATTTTGTAGGAAAATGGGAGCAAATGTTTACTGTAACATGTATTGCTTGGAAGACTGCATATGGTCTGACCACCTTTATTCTTAAGTAAATTCGGAACTCTCTTAGTCAGGCTTTGTTGTCATTTCTGGAAATATTCTTCAGACATAGTTTTGTTCTTGAAGGACATTCAAAGCTCGTATTTGGATTTTGGCTGCGTGGTGTTCAAGTCTGTCAAGATAATCCCACACTGCTTCAATGTTAAGGACAAAACATGACTACTAGTTTTCCATTGTTGGTTTTTTTTTTCTAACCACGTATGTTTTTATTGCACTGTCAGTGTGTTTCAGATGATTGTCATATTGAAAAATGAAGCCGTTGCCAAAAAGATCCTTCTTAGATGGCATTGAATGGTAGATCAAAATCTTTTGAAAATGAGTAAATTGCAGCTAATGTCTAAATTAAAACTTTGTATTACCTTAAAGATTGGACAACATATGGCTCAAGAGTGCTTAAAATTTACTACAAAGTCTGGCTTCTTGGAATAAAAAAATAATCAAACATGATTAACTTGGCCAATGATTTTCTGGATTTTGCATGTTGATGGGCAGAGATTGATGGTGTGAGGATTATCTGTCTGCTTTAAGACAGTAAAAACCTAGACATAGATCTGTTTATGAAGGGTATTTATAAAATAACCTGTCTTTGCTGGTTTTGTTCCAAAGATGCACGTTGTCTGTCTAAATTGCAACCGCTGGGTTCACTGATGCAGGAAAGGTAGGTCATCTCCTTTGTTTTTGGTGTTGTTGGTTTTTGTTGTTGTTTTTTTTGTTTTTTTCCCATTTATTTTAACAGACAAGCTGAATAAAACTTGCAAATCGTCTCACTCACTGCTTCTACTTTGTTTTTGGCTCGAGGTTTGAACTTCAGACTGATTAGGATCATTACAAGTCAGCATGTCTCATCGAGGACCTTTAACCGCTGTCGTAACGGCAGTACTAGGGGCAACCTTGGGAGGGCTGCTCATATGGCGGGTGTATCGAACAAAAAGGAAAAGGTTACCTTCCATCCAGAAGGTCGCAGAGTCCTTGCACAATCTTGAGGAAAAGTCCACAGAGGTCACAGCTGTGGAGTGTACATGCATACAGCCGCCACATGTTGTGAAGGATGAATTTCAGACTGTACAGTGCCAGACCACACTTCCTGCCCGGATCCTGTCTTCTGATCACCTGCTGGGAATCAAACCAGTGATTGTGACCTCTGAAGAAGAGTGGCAGCAGTTGTGGCCAATAATGCAAAAAGAACTGTCAGTCTTCCCTGTGCTGGGATTTGACTGTGAATGGGTAAAGACCTCCGCCGTAAGAAATACCTTTTGCATGTTTTTCCATTTTTTTTATTTATTTATTTTTTAAAAAAGGAGAAAAATCCACCTAAATGTAGAAGAATAATTGGCCATGGGGTTCAGGGTTCAGGTTGTGAGGAATTCCTACTTTTTCCCTAAAAGCTGACAACAAGATAAGATAACTCTGTCATTGCACAGTCATACATAATACAATGACATTGGAAAACTGCCCTACGTTGGCACTACATATAACACGATACGACACATCACAACGCAACACAACACAGTATATTAACTTAGTAATAAAAAAGTGTATTAGTATTGCACACTGTTATTATTGCACATTAGACATGAGTCTATTTGTTCGGGTCCTCAGCAGCCTGAACCTCCTGCCAGACGGCAGCAGCTTAAACACCCGGGCCCGTATCCCTAAAGATTCTGAGAATCCTCTCAGAGAGCTCCTAACTTAACCTAAAAATTCCTTGCCAGGAGTTTTAGCTTAGAAGTGATTCCAGAACATTTTCAGTGAACTCTGAGCAAGGAATGGATGGAAAATCCTATCTTAGTGAGGAGGTGTGGTTGACCCCGTTGCTAGGTATGAGTCATCATTTCAAAAGCCGTGATTGGTTGATCCTACAAGTTTGATGGAAATGAGCTTTTGGTGATAATGAGCAAAGGATGTACCCTCAAATCAATAAACATATTATATACTCTAATCTTATGCTGACTGTAATTGTAAATAATATTTCACATTCAAGAAAATATCTGGAAAATGAATAGTAAGCTGTAGGGGTTATAGCCTAACATTAGAATCTAAAATATGTGAAAAACTCATTACACCCTGTTCAAATAATGATTCGTGTCTTATTTGCTCATATTAATATCCTAGCTGGCATATTTTGTACTTTCACTCCCATATGGACCCCGTTGAAAACAAGATGGCCTATCTCAAGAGGCTGTCCTTAATGAAGTAGAAATCACAACGTTACAAGTCCAGTGTGGTCTTAACGAGGGTAACACGGCTCAGCTTTTAGCAATGTCTGTGATTGCAGACCCAAGTCATCACTGCTGCATTGTTGCATTTTCCCGGTTGCCAAATACCTCGGGGTTGTGATTACTTTCGTCTCCGGTGTAATAGCGTTGTGGCGTCGAGTTGGTGAAGTAATTGCATCTCTAAGGAGATCCACCACAAACATGATTCCTGCACGATCCACTCTGTAGCATCTCAATAATTCCCTGTCATCCAGTGTTTGCAGGACATCTCTCCTGCCTCTTCTGTTGGCCATTTTGTGCAGCTGCTTAGGGGAACTCCTAAGCCACTAAAAGTCCTCTTCCCTGCTCTTAGCAGATCTCGCCTTAGGAGCCCTTTTAAGCGCTAGGAATCTTGAGGAATAGCTTTTATATTAACTGGGATTGTCGTGTCACTTTTAGGGGAAATTCTAAGAAAACGTCATGACTCTGAGAATTTTCTTAGAATTTGGCCGCTAGGAGCCACTTTTTGCACAAAGATTCTTTAGGGATACGGGCCCCGGTGTCCTGGGTGTGTGCAGTCCCGTAGGATGCTGCGTCCCCTCTTAAGACAGCGAGTGCTGTACAGGTCCTTCAGGGAGGGAAGAGGATTTTTTTATTTTTTTATTTATTTTTTGGGCCATATTGATGACCCTCTGGAGTGCCTTTCTATGTGCTGTGGTGCAGCTGGAGAACCACACACCGATGCAATATGTCAGCACACTTTCAATGGAGCAGTGGTAGAAGACTCCTTCAGGTCCATTTTTCTGAGGATTCTCAGAAAGTGGAGACGCTATTGGGCCTTCTTTAAAACCGCAGGGATGTAGAGCTCCATTGGAGGTCTGTGTCTGTGCACAAGCCTTTTAGGATGTTGCTGTAGGCTTTATCCAGTGTGTTGTTGTTGTTTTTTTGTTTTTTTTTTCTCCCCTCGTTGCACATTTAATGTTGTTCAAATCTGGGGAATACTGACTAAATCAGCATGGTTGAAGTCCCCAGCTATAATGTGCACTGCATTTGGATGGGAATTCTGATTGCTCCTCCATGGCCGAGTTAGCATTAGAATCGGGTGGTACATACACGGCCGTTACCATGACAACAGTAAACTCGCGAGGTATGTAGACGGGTCTGCACTTCAGTCAAATATTCCAAATCTGGGGGACAACGGCTGTGTACAGTTTTTGTGTTTTTGCACCAGCTGTCATTGGTGTAGATGCATAAATCCCCTCCTTTGTTCTTGCCAACAACCAAACACCTTGAGCTTTACAAAACATTAATGACATTACACAATTGTGGTGGATTTCTTCCCTTTTAAGCATCATCCATTATCATCACCTCACACAACTGTCTCTGTGTTTTCTGACCCAGCTGCTGTTGTTTGGATACAGGTGTCTGCTAAAGGCAAAGCCGCTGTGGTCTCCTTGCTACAGATGGCCTCGTACTCGGGTCTGTGCATCCTGGTGAGGCTGTTGCCGTTTCGCAGCAGTCAGCAGCCTTTCCCGCACACATTAATGGAAGTTCTCAGAAACCCACACATTCTTAAAGTGGGAGTTGGTTGCTACGAAGATGGCAAGCGACTGACACGTGACTACGGCTTGTCGCTGACGTGTACGGTTGACCTGCGTCACCTTGCCTTGCGACAAAAGTAAAAAATAATTCTGCTCTTGCTTATAATCGAAACTATTTGTGTCAATTGCAAATACACACTTTTTCTTTTTTTTCTTTTTTCTTTTCCCTTCTCCCTTTTAGGCAAACTTCAGTAAGTAACGGACTCAGTTTGAAGTCACTGGCAGCAGATGTGTTGAAAATCTCTCTAGACAAATCTCCAGAGGTGCGTTGCAGTGATTGGGAAGCAGATCAGTTGACAAAGGAGCAGGTGGGGATCTTACTGTATTGTAAATACTATACTTGTACAGACAAGACGCTGGTTTCTTCTGCCATGCCAAACTAATCGAACAAAAACATGTATTGTCAAAATAATTTTCTTTACCCCTTTGCTCGCTCCAGATGACTTATGCTGCTAGAGATGCCCAGGTTTCCATTGCTCTCTTCCTCCATCTCCTTGGCCTTCAGTCTGAAGCCAGTCCCGCCTCTTCCAGTGGGAGCTCTTACTCTGAGCTGGCCTCCCGCTGCCAGGGTCTGGTCGATGTGCCGTTCAAGGGCCAAGGAGATAGAGATGACAGGGCAGGTGATGGAGACAGGAAGAGGAGGGCCAGGTCGTTAGGCTATGAAAACCCAGAGTCTGGAGATCAGCAAGTCTCAGACCCTCGGAAGAATCACAAGAGGAAATCGCTGGGTGCCGGGTATTCCGCCAGGTGAGTGTTATTAATGACAAAGAAGCTCATTCTTAGATGAGGATGAGCAGTTGTTTGTTTTCCGCTCTTACTGTACAGTGAGTTTGGGACATCGTTTGCACAGGAAAATATGAATGTAAACTGCTTTATACTGTCTCTCTCTGCCTGTTCCAGGAAATCTCCCCTCTATGATAACTGTTTCCTCCATGCACCAGATGGCCAACCCCTGTGTACCTGTGACAAGAAAAAAGCCAAATGGTACCTTGATAAAGGAATAGGAGGTATGCTGGATAAAACCCTCTTTATTGCCTTTCAGCTGTCCTAAGTACAACCTAAATGTTTTTCCCTTTCATGTCGAGTCTCACTCCTTCCAGCAGCTGCACAGATCTCTTTATTTTCTTGGCTCTCAGTGACTCTCTTTAAACAGCCAGACCTGACGTGCGTTGCTGCACCTGCAACAGCTCCTTAGAATATCCTGTTTTACTTTCCTGTCTTTCTAATTTCATTTTTTTTTTATTGTTGCTTTACATTTAGTTGGTTATTTATTGGTTCTGATGCTTATTCTAAGTATGAATGTTTGCAATTAGATGCTTAAATATTAATCAGGTTGCTGTAGACCACATCCTAGGGTTTCTGAGGTGTTTAGATTTACCCAGTAAGTTCTCGTTATACCTGGTGCACAGTGTCACGCTTGTCGGCAGCATTTCAAATAGGATTTGACTATGAAAAACTCTTAAATGAATATACAGTATTTGTGATTTTGTTTTTTGTATATACTAAAGGACTTACTATGAGAAGGCAATGGTCAGGAGCATCCTTCCTTACAAAAAGCATGCTCTTAGTCATTACTTCACAGCAACATGAAGCCTGCTTTGATTTCAAACGTGCAATCCAGGGCATAGGTCAAGGGTCTTTTGTTTGTTTTTTTCTTTGAAAGTGATAACTCAAAGAGGAAGTCAACGACGTGTGTTTACTGGAAGGCTCTGGAGTAGCACTAGTGGCCACCAGTATAAAGTGTATAGATTTGTGCATTTTAAAAAAGTGTATTAGTATTAATAGTGTGAACTATACAATGTGTTTGTTTTTTGTTTTTTCTTCTCAAACTCTGTAAATACTGTCAAGCATTTGCATCCCTGTGAGGTTCAAAGAATAGCCTGAAAACCCGATGCTGTTCTGTTTGTGATGCAGTGCTCGAGAGTGAAGAGCCTTTTATTGTGAGGCTGCTGTTTGAGCCGTCGGGACGTCCTGACTCGCAGCAGGATTACTACCTGACTGCCAAGGAGAATCTCTGTGTGGTCTGTGGAAAAGCAGATTCTTACATCAGGTTTGACACACTTATTCGCTTTGCAGTTGATTTATATTGAAGGTTTACTTAGAACTTGTTCTGCTTGTCTGATCTCAAGCACAGAACCAATAAAACAAACAAATTTGCTTGACAAATGGCAGTTTGTTCTGAACTTCAGAAGATCATTTGTGTTGTTTAAGTATAAATGTCTTATTTTGTGATGCCACCAAATCACTGCAGACGTGATTAACATGCATCTTTGTTTGATCCTTAAGGAAAAATATTGTGCCGCATGAGTACAGACGGCATTTTCCCACAGAGATGAAGGACCACAACTCCCATGACATCCTGCTGCTGTGCACCAGCTGCCACGCTGCCTCCAATGTACACGACAGCTTCCTGAAACAGCAGCTGGCTGAAGAGTTTTCTGCCCCTCAGGGCTGCGAGGAGGGAGTTCGGATCTTTGAGGACTCTGATCGACGGAAAGTACGCTCGGCGGCTCGGGCTCTGCTCATTGCCGGGGAAGGACTCCCCAAACAACGGCGAGAGGAGCTGCAGGCTTTAATCAAGAGTTTCCTGAATTTGAATGACGAAGAGGGGGCGACGGAGGAAGCGCTGCAGCAAGCGGCCAATTTGGAGACTAAGTGAGTTTAAACTGATACGTGATCACACGTCAGTTATGGTTGTGTCTTAATGATACCTTTAAATTATTTTAATACTTTAGCATTTAGGTTTTAAGTAAAGCTGAGCACTGCTGATGTAACCAAGCAGTGACTGCAAAAAACCCATGAGCTACATCTCAGACTCTACAGGCCTGAGTTGGCATGTTGAATGTTAAAGCTGTGACAGGACAATTAAAAAAAGAACAAGTATGGCTTGTTTGGAAGGACAGTCGGGAGCAAGTCTCTTCTCGCTAAAAAAACGTGGCCGCATGGTTTGGGTTTGCAAAGTTGCATCTGAAAAAGCTACAAGACAAAGAGTGTGCTTTGAATAGATGAGACTAAAGTGGGAGATGTTTGTCCATAATCGATGGACAATATCAACACAAATACCTTGTACAAACTATGAAGCGCAGTCGTGGAGGGGTGATGATTTGGGCTTGTTTTGCAGACCCAACATCTGAGGATTTTACAGTCGCTGAGTCAACCAAGAACTTCTCTGTATACCAAATAACGTCAGATGTGAGGCCATCTGTCCAATAACTAAAGCTAGGCTGAAACAGTGTCATGCAACAGGACAACAAGCCCAGAGATTTTTAAGTGGTCAAATAACAGAAAAATGTACAGATGTAAGACGAATAAGGAATTTATTTATACTTTTTGTGAACCACTTGTGCAAAGATGTGTACTTGCCAATCACAGGCACAGTGAAACATAAGTGTACAGTCACATTTAACTTTACTTAGTTCCCAGTTTAAATATGCTAAGAAGCATTCATAATTTAACAGCCCACTCAGTGAACCAAATTATTGGTTGAGTCCTAATCATCACTGTACGTTTAAACAGCTGCATGTAGTGTATCATGATCATTTTTGCTAGTCTGCGCTCTCTCTGACCGCTCCTCTCTCCTCTGAAGGATTTTAAACGAGGCGTACGTGCCTCACGGTCTGAAGGTGGTGCAAGCGCACGCTGAGCAAGGCCTGCGGGGACTGATGGTCCTGGAGCGTCGCTGGAGGCAGCATTTCCTCACCACCATGCAGCCTCGCCACCTCCCTCCTCTGTGGTCCATCGATCACAATCACAGCAAGTTACTTCGCAAATACGGAGAGGACCTGCCCATTAAACTCAACTGACTTTCCATCTCCAAGAAGGGCACGACTAACCTCGCACCTGGATAGGAAACCTGGATTTTACTCTTTTACTTTGAAACTCAACAGCCACTCCATCAGTTTCTCCAACCTGCTTTTGCGTTTTTTTTTCTTTTTTTTTTAGTGAGCACGTGAACGCACTAATTGAGCAGCAGGGATGGAAATGTTATAGTATGTGGCTGCTGTCAAGATCCCACTGGGCAAAGAACATTGATGCCAAATTCCAGTAAGAGTAACTGACCCTACCTGTGGAGAGAAATCTAGGTAAAACACTAACCTTACAATGTCGTGGACACGTTGTTCGCATGTGGACTTTTTTTATTTAAACAAAACAAAAAACCAAACAATCATAAATCTTGAACAGATTTTTAGAAAAGGCTGCTGCCTGCTACTTTATTCTTGACCTCCAGCTCCACCCCCTGTGGGTCAGCAGCTTATTATGAATGATTTGCTTTGCAGAGAGATGGTTGTTTTTATAGGACCTTAAATTATTTGGCTCTCCGTCCAGTTTAAGTTTTCATTCTGTTGTCTGGTTTAGGTCAATAGATGATAACTGAATTTCCCTGGGAATGCCATGAAGATAAAATCCATCTTTGCTCAATTTTCTTTTTTTTCCAAAGATGAGTTAGTCAAGGTGTTTCTGGGCTTGAATGTATTGCGTCTGTGGTTTTGTACACATCGCAGCAGGGGAGACAAAATGTAAGTACAGTTGGCGTTTTTCACTTGGTCATTTATTTAAACTCCTGCTTATGTCGTGGTGCCGATTCTCCGGACGGCTGGGACCTCTCCATGGCGCGTGTGAACGTGCCTCTTAACCCCTAAACCTAACTGGAGACTGTGTCGGGACATGAGCTCGTTTCAGTTTAACAGCGACGTCGTTTCACAGATTCCAAACTGCACAGTAAAGAAAAGCTGCCAACTTGGACGTGATGAAGATAAATTACAAGATTTAACCCTCTGCAAAGCTTTAGAGTATAAGAAATTTACCTTATGGAAGCAGCTGCATTATATTCATGTTTTCCTGTGAATGATACAGTAAATAAGTGATGTTTATTAATCTTATGAGTTATTGAACACACCTATACCCTCCATCCACTCCCCACCCCCCCGAAACAAGACACAGCCACATTCATTTGTTTATTTCTTACAAAATCACAGTTTAATAAATAGTCTGTAAAAATGAGTACAAAAGTGGTTTTCTTAACATTTCATATATGAATCACTCGTGACTTTCAGGTCAAAGGAGTCTTTAAGTGGATTTTCTTTTCTACAATCTAGTTTTGCTGAATTAAGGCCTCTTGATTTTGGCATCAGAAACAATCTGTCAGTCAAATGTTTTGTATCTGAAGTTGAATTAGTTATGAGCTCCCCTGGTTTCACAGTTCAGTCAGGAAAATTAAATAAAACACATTTACAAATAAATAAAATGGCTCAACATGCAGAATCCCTTTATCCTAAGACGCTGACAAACTAAGCATATTTCTAAAGGTCAGTGTTTGACACTGCAACAATAACAATGGCACATGATGCTGCTTCATCCAAGGGGTTTCCATCAAAGTTGACTTTTCATTTCTTGGGTGCCCTTGATTTATTAACATGGACTGACTTTGGGGAATTATTATTATTTATTTATTTTCTTTCTTCTTGAAGTAAATTTTGGTGGAATTACCCTTTGAAGAAGTCTAGCGGTGATAAAGAGTGCAATCCTGTGTTATGAAAAACACTCTGACATCTTTACTGCATTACAGTGAAAACCTCTGAGGGTGGAAACACACCTGAAGATTCAGTTTAAGTTATTAGAAAGCCTTTGCTTTTAATTGGGGGGGGGTTATTCTATTTAATGAATTTTGGGAACTACTTTGAAAGGTGACCGCTAACGTGGCTTTAGCAGCACTGGTAGGCATTTACCTTTGGACATAACCAGGCTAGCTGTTTCTGCTATGGACAGGCCTCATGCTAAGTTAGCATACATAGACTGTATATAAAAGAAGGCTGTAGTTTCAGGCTCACTGCAGAAGCACCTTAAACCTGCATTTTCATTTTTCTTTTCAGTGGCCTGCAGGGGGCGACTCTTGTGCTTGTGAAAAAGGTCTGCTTGTACAGAAGTCAATTGGAAAAGTGTAGAAGCTTCTTTCTGCCACTGAAAATTGGAGGTTATCCTACCTTCAGTGTCAAAAGACATTTTTGAGGCAATAATCTGAAATTTTGACTTTTTTTTTTTCTCCCCTTGACTTAGAAAATGGTCCTCAGCCTCCTTGATTTCTACCTCCAGTAAACACTTTCCTGATGAATTTATGGGCTTAACTTTAGGTAATCATCCCAATTAGCAATCATAGGGTGCCAAATCAGTCCCTATCTTATATTTCACAGTGAGATCTGTCCCATGTTGTGGTACCTGGGTTAAAAATAACAAAACAAAAACACTCAGCTAAAGGCTTAAGAAAATAAGGCTTCACAAACAGTGCATGTGTCAAATTGCCCATGTCCGTCCTTTATATACAGTCTATGTTGGCAAGCATATACATGGTTTCACTTCTAACCTTTTGCAGGAAACTTTAAAAGTTTAGAGTCCTTAGTGAATCCTCTTGTGTGTGTCCACTTGTAATCCCGCAGAGTTTCAACACTAAATTACTGCATATTTAACTCCTTTTGTTCACTGCGACAAAAGACAATTTTTTTTTATTTTTTTTTTTAACAGATTTCAAAAAAAAAAAAAAAAAAAATGAAATGAGTTTCAGATTTAGCCCCAAATCTCTGGATTTTTTTTTTTTTTTTTTTTTTTTTCTCTTTGAAGGGACAAGTTATTTTCACTTTCAGAACACCAGATGTTATTCAAAAGTATTCAAAAACACCACATTAATAAGCTTTTTCTCCAATTCAGGTACACTGAAATTAAAATAAGGCATTTTCTCGACAATTCCAATTTGCAAGTCAAACCTTGATCCCTTACGGGTTTGCAAAAGCAAAATTTTAAAACAAATTTTCAGGTAATATCACAAAAAAAGGAGACTATTTGCCGCTTGTACGTTTCGACCTTCTAGGCAAAAATCCACAAGGAACATCTTGCACGCGTTTCACAAGGGAGAGTCGTACAGCTGTTACAAATGACCCCAAAATGACCAGAATTCACACCTTCACACAGACCAATAAGATTGTCACATTAACATAAGATGTCGCAAAAATCATATATTGCTCCACAACGGCTGCGGTAAAATAAAGCTCCAGCTTTAGGACAGCGGGCTAGAAACAAAGAACTCTAAAGAGATGAGAAGCGGATGGTTCCTCTAGTTTTTGGTCAAAGGCTGTTTGACGATGCAGAGAGGCTCAATATCTGTACAGTTTGTCTGTTTTGGTGGGGTTTTTTCCCCCTAAAATGGACATTTTCATGGTCACGTTTGCAGTTAAGTACCCTCAAAGCCCTTAAAACATGTTAGAAACACAATTTCTAAACTACACGGGCTTTGATAATGGCATAAGCATCTTAGTCAATGATAAATAATCTTCGTTCTCATCCAATGACACCGATAAGCAAAACAGGCAAAGATCTGTCATCTCCTCCTCTTCACTGCACCACCACTGCTCCCAACAACCCCAACTTATTATTGCTTGCATGTTAATACATACAGTATGGGAAACCATTATCGTTTCTGAAAACGCACAGAAAACTAGAGATTTCTCACAGTTAAGACTCTAGCACAAGTGACAGCAAGGGTCCAAAAAAATGAAAAATAAGAAAGCATGACTGCCTAATATGTATTTTAACCCCCTCGGGTTATTTCTGCTATAACAAGGACGCACTCCAGTTTGTGGGAAGAGACACAACACGGACGTTTGCTGGTGTATTCAGGATGTAGCACAAATTCTTTGGAGTTTCATTCATTAAGCCGAGATGATGGAGCCTGCGGGAATTGTATATATTTTTTTTGTTGTTTTTTTTTTTTTGTACTGTCCCATAGCAGGATGCAATGTCTTCTCTCTCACTCTCACAAACACACACGCACTTATCTGATCCACGCAAACCAATCCAAAGGAAAACACGCACGCACATCTTCGCTGCGCAAAACACAATTGGCACAGATTATCAAAATAAATACCCTGGAAGCTTGGCACTATGCAAAAGAAAACTTCACATTTTCGAAAGAAATCTTATAAAAAACTATTGAATAATCTCAGTCTACTCCACGTTTTCGTTTGCCTCACTATTACTTATATACTATATGCTGATGAAGGTTACACCAGTGTCGTAAACCTCTGAATGACTCAACTACCACTGAAACAATATAGCTCCTATTCAAATAGATTTTTTTTTCCACAAACGTACATCAAAATGAAGTATCTAACATCTATCGGACTATAGATAGTGCTGTTGTCTGGTATGCATCTGCTTATAGTGCCTCTTAACTTTTTTCTCCTCGCTTTTTCTGTAAAATCTGAAACCCTTCTGGGAACAGGTAAGAAGTCTTGTACACCTTCCTTTGTTTTATTTCAACTTCGATGTTTTAGGATCGGTGTGGATGCCTGTCTATGCAGATTACCTCACAGGTGTCCCTCCAGGATGCTGGTGACAGCCTGGTCCAATGACGGGCCTGACGTGGCCCTTGTCGGGGCTGCAGAGGGGCCCTGCAGGCGCTGAAGCTCCAGTATGCTGTCGATGGCACTCTGTAGATGTTCACTGAGCATGTTGTCCTCTTGGAAAGGCGGAGGCGGCGGGCTGAACCGCTGCTCGGCCCGAGGTGACGCATCCACCCTGAAACATTTCAGTTTTGGAGCGCTGACGTCTCTGGGAGGCAACTCAAAGCGCACATCCTGCGGCTCTGGCATAGAAAGAGGATTTGGGACTTTTTTTACGGACGTGGGTGCTGTCTGTGAGACTTGCTCAGCAGTGTTACTGAGCGGAGCTCCGTTGGTCATCTCCTCGTCATGCTCAGGACGCTTGGGTTCTCTGTTGGGTGCCTGAGAGTGGCGTTCGTTCACAGCCCCGCCACCGTTGGTCAGCTGCCCCGTGTGGTCCCTTTTGAGTCCCGGGTCATAGGCCGAGTTGTGGATCACCTTACGAGAGCCTGACTCCTGCTTGATGGTGAGTCTGAGAGCCCCCCGCGAGCTGGAGCGGTAGGTCTTCAGTCCCGGAGGCCTGTCGGACAGTCTGGTCCAGGCTGGGGGAGAAGAGGGGCTGCCAGAGGAGTGGGCATGAGGGGAAGACGCTGACGTAGCCAAAGCTGTCATAAAGGACTCTGGAAAAAGGAAAGTGGAGCTGATTGAACAATATTATCCAGTTTGTCTGGTTTAATTCTACATGGGCATGCTGTGAAGATGAAGAATTTTCAGGCATAAAAGTCTAAAGGATCAGATCATAGAGAATAAAAAAATTATCCAAACAAATTTCTCTAATTATGCACAAAGCTGTGCTTTTAGTTGCCTATGCCTTCACCCCCAAAACATAACGTTTTAATCCAGCTATAGAACTGCCAGATTAAAATGCAGCAGTGCGCCTGAAGAGAGCACATGCAAACAGACATGAAACGAATAGTTTGATGTCTTAGTTTTCGTAACAGCTTTCAACAACCTCCTGCCCCTTTTCCAAATGTTTAATTAACATAACTGTGTTTTTCACCATCATGCTGAGTCTCTCTCAGCACACCCTGCTCCACATTTACACCATTTAATTGCTTAACACCTGGGAGCTGCTCTGGAGCAAATATGCAGGTTAAAAGCAGTGCTAATAAGTTTGTTTCACTAATTCATTTTTTCCCTGCCGGTTCAGATTTACTTCAGCACTGGCATCTGCATTTTGGCAAACACCCACCCACACATAGCAAACCTCTTTTTAATAATAGTAACAATAATAGGCGGCGGTACTTCTTTAATCCTGCTGTGACACTGACCCGGGTCTCTGCGGGCTCGCCGTCTGTCCTCCGCTAGAGCGTATCGCTCGGCCTGGAGGAAGAGACGCTCCAGCATTACCATCTCTGCTGAGGGACTCTCCTGCTGTGGAGACAAGTTCAAATCCCCATAAACACAGACCCAAACAGTACTGAGAAGATGATTATAGAGAATCAACATCTGAAACTAAGCAAACTGAGTCACTCAACATCCAGACATTGTTTTGGTTTTGAAGCAATACCGCCCCAGAGGAGGTGTCTCACCTGGGCTTCTCTAACTAATAGCTGCCTGTATTTGTTGACCATGTCCTTGGTGCGTTTCAGCAGGAAACCGGACACAGTGTCGAACTCCTGGTCCACTGTGAAGAGGAACATCATTAATAACTCATATGATAAAATAATTACATCCTATTGAGTTATAAAGTAGTTTGGCACTTGTTCTTCCAGATACATTTATGTGCAGGATATGGTTAGGTCAGTAATCAGTCAGCGATCAAGCTAACCTAAATTGAAGTCATCCTGAGTGGGCAGGTGACCAGCGCAGGTGTGGTATGGCAGCAGGTGTCTAACAGCGTCCTTCAGTGTGGAGAAGGCTGGGCCAGTGAGCGGAGCCTGCACTGCTCCATGGTCCAAACAAAGCTGCTGCTGGAACCTGAAGGGTTTAATAAAAACTCTGCGTTAACTTAAACCTACAGTAGTTTTTTACAGCACAAAAGAAGTAGGACAAAACACAGGTGGAACCATCTAATAGCGTGGGTTTGTTTTTTTTGTTTGTTTTTTAAATTTGTTACATTTATCAGCTTCAAGAGCCATGAAAAGTACCAGTTTACAGGAATCTTCATGTTTCATGTTGTGTGGTTTTGGGGCTCAGCTGCAGGAGGAAAGGTGGGGCAGAGCGATTCAGGGAGCAGTGCCAAGTGAGGTGACTGGCACACCTGTTGCACATTTTCCCAATTAACCTCTACCTTTTTATACAGTAGGTGCAGGGCTGACAAGACACACACATATATATGCACCGCAGACATGGGGAGCTGCTGCCAGGCTGTGAACTCTTCAGGGGAGAGACTTTGGGTTATTATGTAGAATCTGAATCCGCTTCACCCACTGGGCAAGCTTTCTGAAGCGTGCAGTATTGAGTTTATGCCGTGTGTGTGCAGTGATGCAAGTAAAGTCTGATGTTTGCTGGTGTGTGTTGTCTATACTGAGGCGAACACACAGGTAGCACAGACAACTGGTAGAATAAAATGTAAACTGTCTCACTTTTAAGTAAAAGCTGCTTATCAAACCTATTTTTTCAAACCAGATGCTGATAGATGCACTCGGGGCGACTTTAGGTTCAGTATCTTACCCGGGGATACTTCAACGTGCAGACTAGTGGAGCTAGGGATTTAAACACGGACCTTCCAAATAGCAGACAACCCGCTTTGGGCCCACAACCGCCCCCCTCCAGTTTGAATGCAGCTTTTATCAATACACCATTTGGATTCCTCCATCAGCTGAGATACTGGTGTAGATAACTCGTAATTGTCATGTAATCTTATTAAACTCCTCACTTCATATTTAAAGTAGATAAATCAATAACTGAATTTAAAGTGATTTTAAATCAAATTATACAATGTTTTAAAATATACACATCCAGAAATGCATATACTATTAAATATTGTACATATATTTATTAGTTTCAGATGTAGCCATTCTTGTATTTTTCTTGTTTACGTTATTGTATTTTGCACAACTCTGTTGCTCGTGAAGCTCGCACACAAGAATTTCACTCACATGTACTGTACCAATGTACCTGCACATGTGATGTGACAATAAAAGTGATTTGATTTTTGATTTGATTTGAAATATGAGGCCTCACACTTCAGTTGGTGTGTACCAACGTAAGATAGCATACGCATCCAATACTCCAAAACCTCATCATCAACAACAAGAGAAGCGACAGAAGTTTCTCTTTGTGTTAACTTCCCATCTTTCCTGTCAATAGCAGAAAATGCTTGTAGAATCACTATTTACTGCACTCTGTTTTCACAATAAGAGTCCAACAAACAAGAAAAAAAAATGCTTCTAAGGAATTATGTACAATCATTATTCTAATGCAGAGGTGTCCAACTCCAGGCCTCAAGGGCCGGTGTCCTGCAGGTTTTAGATGTGTCCTTGATCCAACACAGCTGATTTAAATGGCTAAATTACTTCCTCAGTATGCCCTGAAGTTCTCCAGAGGCCTGGTAATGAACTAATTCTGTGATTCAGGTGTGCTGACCCAGGGTGAGATCTAAAACCTGCAGGACACAGACCCTCGAGGCCTGGAGTTGGACACCCCTGTTCTAATGATACATGGCCAAAAGTGCATACATCATAATACACACAACATTCATACGTCTGCAATAATTTCCCACTGCATTATATTTTCAACATTTTGCATTTCAGACAGTTTCCTGTTATTCACCAGGAAAAAAATCTGGAAGACACAACAGCGTCTTACATGACGACTTTCAGCAGTACAGAAATGTTCTTAGTTTCTCTTACCTGTGCCTGCGCATTGCTGGTGTGAGCCTCTCCTCTCTCTGCAGCTCCAGAGGACCTGCCAGCTGGCAGACGCACAACATTTTGGACGAGTTAAAAACGACACACGCGGGTGCATTTTGAAGTCAGTCGTTACACATTTGCAGTATTAAACAAATAATAATTTCAAAGCTTGCCATCTTTTATTCTTTCATTTCAGTACAGAGGAAAAATTATGTATAGTAATTATGAGTAGATTACAGATTTTAATAGCACTAAACCTACTAAACACAATATTATCACAAGAAAGAACATCATGAAATGATGAAGGAGCTGGTCAGAATTTGTTTTAGAAACATACCAAGAAATTAATACACTGACAAAATAATTATAATATTAATTGATAATAACAATTACATTTTTTTAAAATTAAATAATAAATCAGACTTCAAGTAATTGGATATTAGCTTTCGCTCACCTTGGTGCTCGTCTGCTGACTTGTCTGGATGGGAGCGCACTCCATGGGAGCAGGGGGCCCCTGGACCCCCTGGGCTGCAGGAGAGGGTGGATGGACATCGAGAGTAAATGCCTTACTCTCCACGGCCAAGGCAGCTGTTGGCTCTGATAGAGGACAGAATTACAAGGATGACAGAAACGGTGGCAGCAATCATGATAATGAATTAACTGGAAATGAAAGATAATAAAAGCGATAGCAATAGTGGGGGCAATAAAAAAAAAAAAAAGCTAATTAAGAATCATATTATTTATCAACTAGCAGATAACTCACTGTTTTGTGTGTGCTGTTGGACAGCAGAGTCGTCTCCTGCTTTGGAGAGAACTGCAGATGCAGCTGTGGGATTAGGCTGCTGCTGAGGCACCGAGACACTGACAGGCAGAGGGGATTGACTGCTGTGGATTGAAGTATGGTTTGAAGGCTGAGGCTGTGAAACAGATAGTTGGGGCCGTGAAACTGAGGCCTGAGCCTGGGGCAGAGGCTTGGAAACAGATGACTGGATCTGCAACTGGTTGTGGGCAAACAAGGCCTGCGATACCTGTAGCTGATGAGGGACTTCGTACTGAACCAGGGGTTCACTGTGTGGCTGGGAAGCTGTAGTCTGGGGGACTGAATTCTCAGGTCCTGGCAGAGCAATCTGAGGGCCGGTTGGAGGGGAAAAAGTTCTTGCTGCTGGTCTTCCAGTGTCCTGAATCTGAGAGGGGGAGCAGATCAGTGGCGTGTTCTCAGGGTCCGAGTGAAGCGGAGAAACCTCAGCACACTGGTCTGACATCACTGTGCAGGTGTCCTGACCGGAGACTGCATGGGTCTGAGGTTGGGACTCTCTGTCACTTGTGACTGGTGAGGCGAGCGACTCCATTGGCACCACCGGCAGCGCTCCAACCAACAATTCAGAAGTGATCGGGGGACTAAGTGCTTGCTGTGGTAGAAAGAATCAGAAAAAACCAGACAAATTAGATCGTTTTATATTATCTTCACCACTGCATCTTTATTGCCTCTATTGTTTTAAGGCAACTTGACATTACAGATCTATACCAGAAGCTCTGCACACATTTTATTTTCATTTATTTAACTTCACTTTTGGCAAGATCGAAAGGGAAAGTTTACAAGATGGTAAAGAGACCTGATGTGATGTCTGTTTAGGAGATGGTGGCACTGAGAAAACGCCAGGAGACTTAGCTGCAGGCCGAAGAGTTGAAGACTCCAAGTTCTCTAAGGTATGAATATTTACAGTTCTTTATAGTTCTTCCTCTGCATCACCAGTGAACGTAACAAACAACAAGCATGCTATATTGCGAGTTCTTTTTGTAATTTGAATCCTATAGTGTTTATGGCCACAATTATGCTAGAAAAGAGGGGTGACTTAGGGGGTCTAGTCCCTCCTTAAAGCAGCAAACTCAAAAATCTAACATTTGACTTTGCACATCTTTAAAAAGGTCGTCTAACTTCTCGGGGGTGGCTGTAGCTCTGGATGTAGAGCAGGTCACGTACTGATCCGAAGGTTGGTGATTCGATCCCTGGCTCCTCCAGTCTGCATGCCAAGTATCCTTGGGCAAGATACCAAAGTTGCTCACCGATGTATCCATCAGTGTGTGAATGTTGTTAGAAAAGCACTCAGTTTAGAGTCGGTGCTTGGGAGAATGGGTGTGATTGGGTGAATGTGGCACATTGTACACAGCGCTTTGAGGACTCCGGGAGAGTAGAAAAGCGCTATATAGGAATCAATCCATTTACTTCTCTCTGTATCGCCTATCTAAGTTCTTCCAGTTTGCCTGAGCCTTAAACTTCAGGCAAATCCTTGTTTTTGATGAGTCTGCTTCCACAGGAAACAGAGGCAAGTCTATCAAATAGCAGCAGCTATTTGAAACATAATCACATACTTGCACCCAGGGCTTGTTATTATAACATAAATTGTTTCTATCAGTGAAATTCCTTTTTTAATACAACATCATTTTGTCCTTTTCTGTAAAGTTTCTGTACTGTAAAGTTAGACCTTAAATTACATTCTACCGTTTAGCTGCCTGTTGCTTATATTTTTACATCCACTTCACTGATGAGAATCGGCACTTTCTTGCTGTCATGTAAATGTAAAATTCACAGGGGGTTGCTCGAGCTCTGACCTGTTGCAGATGTTGCATAAAGGCCTGGTTCTGACTCATCGAGTGGGTCACCTCCTCTACCACTTGGGTCATATCTGATGGGGGCAACAAGAGTTTGGGCATCTCTGCAGGGTCGGGGGCCAGAGGTGCTTCGGGAGGTGGCTGTAGGACTGTAACCACAGGGGGAGAGGAGGACTGCAGCCCTGCAGAAGTGGTGGGCTGTACAGAGACGTGCTGGAGAGTGTGTCCATAGGGCTGCAGAAGGAGACGTTAGAGTCAGATAAAACTGGGTTGTGTAATTGAGCACAATGACCATCAAGTCTTTATATCAAAGTTATATTATTATTGTGTGGTAATTAAGTTCAGGAACAGATAAAAAATGTAAATGTAGCCGTGTAGACTTGGTGTGTTTATGGAGGGAATATTTTCTGAATCTCTGTGGGCAAAATGGGATTTTAGGCATTTTGAGGCATCTCGTGTGTTACTACAGTAAGAAATCGGACAGTTCAAAGTTGTTACTTTATGTTAAAGCAGCTACTCAGTTTTACTTTGTAAGTATCTACACCAAAAGCTCCTTCATGCAGATCATGTGCCTCTACACTCCAGTTACAGCTCACCTGTTGTAGCTGGTGAAAAGTCTCCTCAGAGCTGGTCCTCTCTTCTTGAATAGTTCTCTCTGGCAGCAGGACCACCGAGGCCTGCTGGAGGTTTAGCTGTCCTTCTGTCACTCCTCTCGGAGGAGCTGGGCCCTGGGCAGCAAAAGGCATCCCCTGAACCATTGAGGGGCCATTAACAATTGAGATAGAAGTAAGATCTGGGGGAAGCACCCCTGAACTGTTGATCAAGGTAATGTGGTTTCCAAGAGCAGGACTGTGGACCAGGGTGGCACGTTGCCCCTGCCCTCCTGGAGCATAGGTTCCAGCCAGCTGTGCTGGCATCTGGAAGACAGTAGCAGGTGCTGACTGTAGCTGCAAAGGTCCTGAAAGCACAGTGGCCTGGCGGAGCGCTAGCTGCCCAGCTGCGGTGGTGAACACAGGGCTGAAATTCAGCTGTCTTTGGGGCACAGTTAAGATCTGAGAGCCATCTACAAGCTGCCCAGTGGAGGGGGTCATGCTGTGAACCGATGAGCCTTGGTGACTGGGTGTCAGCAGCGGTCGTGCTGCACTGACAGGCTGGGAGATTGTAACAGGAGACTGGCCCGGAAGAAGGAACTGGTTTTGGCCTTGGAATAGTCCCTGAGGCTGCAGCACAAAGGAGCCACCCTGATTGACCAGCTGCAGGCTGACTGGTTTGGGGAGCTGCTGGGTGGGCTGCGGTGGCGGAGCGACAGTCTTTTGGCCCGCTGCTTGAGACAATAGAATGTTTGGTGAGGCAGTCCCAGGGACGAATGTAAGACCAGGAGTGGGCTTCTGCCCAGAGGGCTTGGGGCTAATTTGAACCAGTCTCGGCTGAATGCTGATGGGCAACTTGGGCTGTATAGGATGAGGTGCGCGCTGCAGGACGATGCTCGGTGCTGCTGCTGCTGCTCTCAGGGTTGGAGTTATAAGAGGTCGACTGGCAACGCTCGGCACAGCCTTGTGGATGATCATACTTGAGCCCTGGGCAGGACTTAGAGAAAAGGAGGTCTCTGGAGAAGGAGCAGGAAATACATTTCCAGGTAGTAGCCCCATCAGCTGAGGAGGGGCGGCAGGCTTTAAAGAAGGACATCCAGGCCCGACAGCCAGTAGGGAGGGCTGGGGAGGCTCCACTGCTGCTTGGGTGTCTCTGGGCAATGCCGTGGTCACAGGCAAGGTCACAGATTTAGGAATGAATGGAGCGGTGGGTGGAGAAAGGAGAGGGGCCGGTGAGTACAGGGACAGGCTGTCCCCTGATTGTGCCAGACCTGCTTCCAGAGCCATGGTCTGCTCAGTGATCTCAGCCTCCTGTAGGCTCTGCTGGAGGATATCACATGCCACCTCCGCCTCCTCCTCTTCCTCCACTTCTCTCTTCTCTGCCTCACAAGCTGCCTCCACAGGTGGCTCACCCTGCACCACCTGTGGGTCTTCTCCACCCTCTGGAGATGACAGGAGGGCCTCTTCCAGGAAGGACAGATCCACACATTCAGGCGGAGGTGTGTCTGGGGAGTCCCTGCCATCTCCCAGCAGAGAGACAGGACTCTGGGGGAAGAAGCAGTGGGAGGTAAACAGAAAGGTGCAGACAACAGAGAGAAGAAGCTGAGTGAAAATAGGGGAGAACTGTGTGATTAGCACAAGTTAACAGGAAGCTTTTTCAAGCACAGAAGGGGAGAAAAACATAATTCTCCTGAGGGAAAATGCTGTTTGTTGTGACGCTACTGGCTGTGGATCCAGACACTCACCGGGGCATCTGTGAAGAGGGAGGGCTCCCCAGAGGAGGAGTTAATGAGCAGGTCTTCAGTCTGCAGCTGGTGGAATAAAATCAGCCAATTTTAAGTCGGGCTCACGCAAACGTGCTGAGAAATTCACGCAGTACTACATAACGAATCCCTTTCACACTCTCTGCGCTCCTCCAGACATCTCTCAGTACCATGTGCCAAGAAATATTTCCAACTCAAATCCATCATTAGTACTATTGATTTTTCCCCCCATTTGAGTCCCTTTATTTAAGTATTTGTTACCTCATTGGTCCCATGAAGGAAGTCATTCAGGGCTTGGGGGTCACTACAAAGGCAAAGAACAAAAAAATCAGTTAATAACCTTAATTTATTATAATCTATGTACTTTAAATATCTTTGAGACTGTTTTTTTTGTTGTTGTTTTTTACCTGCTGTACGATTACAGATCAGAAACTCACCACAAAACATCAAGTAGACAAGTCCCATCTTCATCCTCCATGTCAACTGAAAGGAAGAGGAGGAAACAGTGAACATTTTGAAACTTTTGGTTTTAAGGACAGCCCAGCCGGTTAAGTGGCTAAATCTGCTTTTGAACGAGAGATAGTTTGGGTGGACAACATTTGCTGAAACTGACTCAGTAGATGGAGCCGGTGACTGGATACGGGGACAGTAAAACAGTAATTAGTTTATTTGTCCATCATCCACACTTATTTTAATCATCATTCTACTTTTTTTTAGCCTGGAAAAATTATAATTAACAAATTAATGACAAAATTAAAAACTGTAGAAATGAAATAAGGCCACACACTCTTACAATCTATAAAATGTGCCAAAAAAACTTGGCTTTGTTACACATAGTTCAGACCATGGCAATTCCTGGTTTTGCGTCTTCCTGCAGAACCAGAGATTAGCTTGTTCAACAATCTGCCTAATAGGTTTTACCCAGGACTTGAACATTGGCTTCTCCTCTGGTAAAAACATTTTCTTTTGCGAATTTAAGCTTCTGCTCTTTGTTAACTAAACTTCTAAGAACCTCTCTACTACAAACAATATTCCTGCTCTCAGTTTGCAAACCCAACCAAGTAAAGTTGCTTCATATTCCCATGTGCATTATTTATCTGAATTTAAAGATATTTTAAATCATTTTGTTAACGCTTGCTTCGGTATTGTTCTCCATACTGTGCGAAAGTCTCAAGCCACCCCTCATTTCTTCATATTTTAAGAGGAAAATTCAAATTAGGTGCAGTGAATTATTGAAATGTGGAAATATGTCACTATTTAGTATAATCACCTTTATTTTTCAATACTCTGAGGCAAGCTTTCTCTAAGCAGTCTTCAGAAATAGTCCTCGGGGCTTCTTGCAGGACATTCAGAGCTCTTCTTTGGATGTCGGTTCCCTTTTGTCCCATTCTCTGTCCCACACTGCTTCAGTATCTGGGCTCTAGGGAAGTCAGTCCATCGCTGTGTTTTTTTTTCCTATCTAGATATGCTTCTGCTGGATTGTCAGTGTGTGTTTGTGTTTCCAGAAGCTGGAAACTGATGGTGCTTTTCTGCATTTAAAATTTTGACAAGATCTCCAACACCACTGGCTGAAAGGCAGCCCCAAACCATGGAGAGCCTCCACACTGTTTTAAAGATGTATCTCTGTCCTGATTTGCTCTGTACATTTTTGTTTTTTACTCCAATTCCTGTGTAATTTGGCATTATTCAGTATTACATCCCTGTTTCCCTTTCTCTGAGACCATTTCTGGTAAGGTTTCAGTGAACAATAGATGGATCAACTGAAGGGATGCATCTCTCAGGTCCTAAATCAGGTATTTGCTAAAATTGTTCCTACTCTTAAGCAACTTCATGGACTGTTTGTGTGCTGTAGATTGTCTTTTAGGTCTGCCATTTCTTCCTTTTTCCTCCACTTGTTCAGTTTCCTCCAATTTTTTTTTTAAGAACACTCTGCACAGCATGCTGAGGTTTGCCAGGTTTTCAGTTTTATGCCTGTCAATTTGTGTTATCCTTGATTTTATTTTTTATAGATTCAAATAAAGAAACAAATGACATCTGGTTTTTGTGACAGGCTGCTATCCAAAGACCTTCAGAAAGCCTGAAGAACTACTGCTCAACACCACTTAAAAAATAATAATTTAATAACTCTTTATAAATGTAAACGGTGTTTTGTGTGTGTGCCTTTTTCAATATTGCAATGCAAGAGCTCACACAATAATCAGAAAATATAAAGTAATGTTCGTGGCTATTAGTCTTTAAATGGTTCAATTAACAAATATTTCTTTTTATTAATTTGAAGGAGTAAAAGTGTCACATGTTTCACAGGGAAACGTGAAAAAACTGAATCCAGAAATCTATCTTGATCTCAAAACGAGAATTATTGGGCCATTTTATAGTCCTGATGTAAAACATGAGCACTGGATGTATCTCACCCATATACCATATATTAAGAGGAACCTACTTCATATGTGAGAGGCCCCATACAGAGCGGTCGAGCTGAGTTCTGGTGGTGGCCTCATGGGAAGTCGTGGTCGGGCATCAGTGTCTGGAGGCGGGTGGATGCCAGGCCGAGGCGGCGGGACGGAGACGAGACCTCCCTCTGCTGGGGCATCGCTGCGTCTCACGGTGCGGGTAGCCGGTGAAGATGCTGTACGCAAGGAGAGGTGGAGAGGTGGGGGGGGCACAAACAGACCACCACATGCTGTCAGGTCACTTGAGGTTATCAGCAGCCAAAACACATTCTCATCTGAACGCTGAGACATAAGATCAATATATGATTCATCAGTTTCTTCTCAGCTGTGGGCAGTGCTGGTGTGATTTTTGTAGCAGACACCTGGGAGACTGGACCAAATCTGCACTAACAATAGTGTAATACACACATATATATTTTACTATCGATTATGCCCGAGGCTGATGAGGAAAATGGAAGCTATTGTTGTGGCGCTCACAGACGTGAGAGGCAGATCTGAGCGCCTCAGCTGTAAATAGACGGCTCCCCCTGCGCCTTTGGATGTGACTTGTCCTCTCCTCATGGCTGAAAAGGGAAGCAATGTGGAAAAGCTCGGCGCAGAGCAAGCCAATTATAACATTACTCACTGCCTTGCGCTCAATTTCCCGGGGAGGTCCCTCAAAACGACAAGACAAGCCTCCCTCTCCGATTCCGCTGACATATTTTTGTTTACAACAAGAGACAACCGCATTAACACCCTCAAGGTACCGCATCGCCCAATGAAATCCAGGCAAACGACACTCATCTAAAGCTGCAGCGGCAAGTGCCATGCTATTCTCTTGGATTCTGTGATGCATTTATAGGTTACGTAAGGTGAATGTGTGTTCATGTGAAATTAATGTCCCAAACGATGCTGGATGCAGAGCCGCTGGTTTCCCCTTACGGTATATTTTTTTTAAATTTATTTTTAGAAAAATATATATATAATTTTTCCTCTCTCCCCCCCACCCCCTGAGTGGGACCACGGCAGCTGACGCCTGCTGTAAATCATATCGCGGTAACAAAAGATGCCGTGTGTTAAAATATCATCTCCGCGCAGCCAGCCTCGAGCGATCCCCTTATGGTTGTGCCATTAGAGTTAATTCCGCAATTCAAAAAAAAAAAACAACCAAGAGAGGGAAAAAAACTCACCCCTTCTTTGTGGTTTATTGTCCTGTCAAGCGGGCCTCTGCGCCATCGATTCTCACTCAGTGGTCTTTTCAGATGCTAAAAGGAGGAGAGGGGGTGGCGGTGGATGGGGTAGGGTAGGGTGGGATGGAGGTGGGAAGGAGGAGGGGTGCGGATGGGGGGTACCGGGGTGGGTGTGAGAAACAGACTGGGAGAGCCGATCACAGCACAAAGGTGGAGAGGAGGAAAATACAGCTGAGAGGAGACAAGTATCCAGATTCAGCGGCGCGACTGCGGGAGGAGGCTGACCGCGCTGTGCGCTCCGCCAGGCGGCAGACGCTTCAGATGTGTCTGCGCTTCACCGCGGAGCTCCCTCATCCCGATTACTGAGGCTTTTCTTGCATTATATGCATCTTTTAGTCACTCGCTTCTGATATTTGTAATACATTTGTAGGTCACAATTGTAAAGAAAAAGAAAATCAATGTTTGGACATGCCATGTGCTACCTAAAGGAGGAAGACATAACTACGGGAAAGTAAAGCAAGCTGCATTCGTGTAGGACTTTATGGTGTTAAGGAAGAAGAAAGTACAACAAGTGCTAACAGAAGATGAGAAAACATTAGCAAATAATGCTTATAAATAAAATGACTGAGGAAATAGTTTTTCGTTTTTTAAAACTATTTCTGCTGCAAAGAGGGTTGCTTAATCACGCACTGTTCAAGAGATCAAGAGAGGAGAAAGTGGAAAAAATGAGGGGAAAAAAGAGAAAGGAAATTAAAGAAGGTGGAAAAAGATTGAATGTAGGCCACATATAACCAGAAATAAGAAAAAAAAATGAAGTCTGCTTAAGTATGATCCATGGAAAAACACACACATACACAAAGAGTTATTTGTCTGTGAAATGAGGGATAACTCCAAAGCAAACTAACATAATTAGTCACAGTTTTCAAAAGTTATGCACTAAACTGCCAAAGGAGAATGAGTGTAAGGGGAAAAAATATCAGTGAAGAAGGAAGCTTTTTCTTCGAAACCTTATCCCCATTTATTCTGAAAGGATACCAAACTGTTTACCACTGGACCGAGTCATTAAGGAGCTAATTACAGAGTGCAGCAAGAGTCTGTTTAACTTAAGTTTACGAGATGGTAGCGATACCTGCTGTGATGTATAGCTTGTAGACGGTGCTGACAAAAAAGACAAGAGGGCAGAGGTGAAGGTGCTTAAAATTTTCATTTGGAGTGAACAGAATGGGCAAGATTAGAAATGAGTACATCAGACGGACAGCTCAGGCTGAGAAGTAGGAGACAAAGTTAGACAGACAATACTGGACATAGGATGTTGAAGGTGGATGTCAGGCAGGAGAAAAAGCGGAAGACCACAGAGAAGATTCACAGATGTAGTGGAGGAGGACATGGAGAGGGTTGGTGTGACTGAAGAGGATGCTGGATAATGTGAGATGGAGGCTCTATTAAGGCTGAAAAATAACTCCAAGCTATTCATTAATTCAGTCCCTGCATCTAGTTGGGCCAAGTCTCACCTCTAATAATAATAACAAAGAAAAAAAAATCATGTAAATCAGTCCGTACTTTTTGAAACCCCCTTTTTTAAACACAGAGCTTATTTGCTTTGTTAAGCTTATTTGCTTTTGTATTGTTGAGCCAAAACTGGAAGCCTCACAACGTGCAGGACTGAAAGGCAAATTATCATTCTCAGCAGCACGTTTCTACATTTGACAAATTGATAGCAGAAGGGAGAGGGGCAGAATAAATAGTGCAGAAAATGAGGAACAAGGCAGTAAAAGAACGCAATTACAAAAAAGAATAATGTAAACAGAAAAGCAGCGGCAAAAAGGGGAAAACTTCACGAGTACTCTAAAGTCAGTCATTATTAGCACTTTTCTACAGCTGACATGCTGTTCAAGAGGGAGTGTAGATGAAAGACATTAAGAATAAAACTAGTAAGAAAACAAAAAATTCCACTAAAGGAAATACAACAGAGATAAAAAATAAATAAATAAATAAAAGATGAGCAAAATTCAATTCAAGAAAGAAGAGACTGAACACAGAAATACAGAACATAGGGCAATAAGACGAGAGTCTGGAGTTTTGCTATTTAAAGGGAAACTTTATTAAGTCCAACAATAAAATACAAAATACATCCCCCCACATGAGATGAGAAAAAAAAGTCAAAAACTTCTGAAAACAAGTTACTTAAAACTTTTAAAACAAGTTCAAGACAGGAAAAATAATTCTGATCCCCCCCCCCTCCCTCCCCTCTCCACCTCCTCAGAAGCTTCACTGCGCTGCCTGCTGAGCCTGACGCCGCAGCAGCACGTAGATCTTCTCTTTGATCCAGTCCTTGTTGTACGGCTGGTACGTCTGCGTGTCAGCACGATACCTGAGGCAGCACCAAAAATTAAATTCAGTTTCAATGTTTTTCTTTTTTCCCCCCCTCTGGTTGGCCCAGGATCTTCAGTTTTTTTAATGAAAACATGCAACTCCTTATTTTTAAAAACACCCAACATGAGCAAATAAGTGACCTAAGTAGCGACTGTTCATCTAGATTTGTCTTTTTGCCAGCTGCGATTAGCTCAGAGGAATTCAAACAGAGTAATCTTGCCTGAATAAATGAGCTTTAACTCCCCACATTAAGAATAACAAATTGCCCTAAATCACCTGTGGGCAGGTTATTGCAGCTGGCTTGTTCTACATCTCTATAAAGCTTGATGTGGTTTTCACTCACTGCCACGAGCATTAAAAAAATATTAATAGAAACACTGATGCTGAGATGTGCCCGTTCCTGCCAAATGCAGCAGAAAAAAAAAAGAGCTGGAAACAAGCTCTTTTTAGAAGGCGAACTTACTGCTAAAGACTTTGTTTCAAATCAAACTGCGTTAGAAAACTGCTGGAAATATCCCTGCAGGGTTGCTCTATGAATTATATACATGTTTTGGCAGCTTTGTGATGGAGAAATCTAAATGAAGGAAATAAGAAAACCCAGCAGATGACAAAAAGATTGAGGAAAAAAAAAAAGGACTGTCATTGATTTGTCATCATCAAAAGATATGGGTTCTAAATAATTTGAGGACAGATTTTAGCTCGAGGAGGGGCTGATCTGCTTTTCTTTAAAAAATACAAAACATCAAGTATGCCACTATAACTGTAATATCTTTTTTTTTTAAAGTCTGTCAACATTGCTCATCTAAATTCTTACACCTGAAGGGTGTACAATGAAATGAGATTAATAGGTTAGACAGTTATTTTCTATGTCGTGGGTGGCTCTCTTTTTACCTGGTTAAATCGGCATGATAACTTATGCTGAACACATAACCTGGGGAGCAGGTTTGGTTTTAAAATAGTGTGAAAGTAACATGTTTTCACTGCTTTTATCCACAATCTCTTTCTTTTGGTCACTACTCAAGGCTCCTGACAACAGGTGATGGCAGGGACGTAGACTGACCAGTAAATTGAGAACTTTGCTTTTATTCTCAACCTCCTTTTCACTTCGACTGACCAGTACAGTGCCCATATCACTGTAGCCACAGCAACAATCGGTCTGTCGATCTCCCGTTCTCTCACTTGTGAAAAGAACCCAAGATACTGCCCCAAGTGGAGGAGTTAAAGTAACTGGTCACTGACCAGGAGTGGGCACTCCACCCTTTTTCCGGCTGAGGACCATGGCTTCAGACTTGGAGTGCTGATTCTCATTCCTGTGTGTCACACTTGGGTGCAAACCACTCCAGTGTGAGCTGGAGGCCACCACAAGATGCCAAGGCAGCCCTGGCAGAGTCCAAAACTCACTGGGGTCTGACTTATTGCCAGTTATGTGGGCCAAGTCCTTCAGGAACTCAGGGCGAACCCTATCCACCACAAGGGCCCTGCCACCAAGGAATTGATAATATGCCTCAGTGACCTCACATATATTGCACAGAAGTCCAATAAGAGAACACCACTCGGATTCAAATCTGGTAGGCCGTTCTTCCCAGTCACTCCCCTCCAGTTCTCACCGTCGTTACCCACGTCAGCATTCAAGTCTCCCAGTAAAAAGAAAGAGTCTCCAGGTGGAGCACCCTCAAACACTCTAACCCAGGGACTCCAAAGAAGGCTTGGTACTCTGAACTGTCGTTCAGCGCATAGGAGCAGACAATAGTCAAGACCTGTTCCCCAACCAGAAGGTGCAGGGAACAAACCCTCTCACCCACTGGGAAAAACCCCAGTGTACAAGCAGCAAGCCGAGTGGATGCTAAGATACCCACCCCAGGCCGCCGCCTCTCACCAAGGGCAACTCCCGACTGAGAAAGAGTCCGGGCCCTTTCCACGAGACTGGTTCTGGAGCCTAAGCTGTGCGTGCGCTTAGGTGAGCCTGACCTTATCCAGCCAGTACCTCTCAAACGCACACACTAGCTGAGGCTCCTTCCCCACCAGAGAGGACACGTTCCATGGTTCCACGGTTTATAAGGTTGGGGAAACCTGCATTCAGCTCAGATTGACAAAGTCATTTGAGTGATGAAACGATTCCTCCACTGAAAACGCTACATCCAGATGAACAGAATCAACTTTTTGGGATTTCTTTACCTGGATGATTGAGCATGCATCAAGACTTATTTCTCTTTTTTTTTATAGAACCCCACCCCCCTTTTTAAATCTGTCCTGCCCAGCAGATTTAGCAAGCAGAATCATGAACTGAATGCACTGATGTGGCAAACACTTTTAACACTCTATTGACTCCTCTTGTTTTTTTTAAAAAACTGATCATTCTGTACCATCAGTTAATTATGCTTTGCACATACATAGGTTTAGAAGACATACACAGGGCTGGATATGACAAACAATTTAATAATTTAACATGAAACTTACACCAAACAGCTGAGGTCAGCCAGGTCATCAATAAAGTCAAACAGCTGGCTGATATCGTATGTTATCGACGGACTGTTGGGGTTCATTCTCTTTAAATGCTCCTCATACATCTTGCATACACCTGTGCAGGGGAAAATATGCTATGTTACACTCACAATGAGTAAATATTTCCATATTCACTTGACAATGTTTTGATTTCTGATGCAAATAAGGAATACCTTACAAAATAAATACCTGAAAAGTCTATGATTAGAAATACTGCAGTAAAAATAATAACATAACAGATTAATTCCTTCCTAAAGTCAAAGAAAGATAACTGTGCTACTAGAAACAGGAGATTATTACCATATGAAATGCTTATTTGACAATTACTTGTCAAATGACCAGAGTTTACTGGACAGTTTTAGTTGAACTGCCTGACCACTACAACCAAAAGTTTTCTCATGCAAGTAAACACAAGTTGCATACATGTCGGGTGAAAATAACCAGTTTCCCTTAATATTTTAACACTACAGACTCAAGATAGATAGGAAACATCATGGAAACTTCACTAAGTTTGACTAAAATTCCAGGTGGATGCACGTAAGCTGTGTACATGTAAACAATGAAAGCCTGGAAGTGTGGAGTGGAATTACATATCACTGAAAGAAAAGGCAATACACAAAAGAACAAAGAACCACCAGCTTACCCTCCATACACTCATTGACTGACTCATAATCAGCGTAGGTCCTTCCCTCCGGCCTCTTGGTGGGCTGTACCAGAAGTATGGTGTGAGACTGAAAAACAAAATACTTATTGTTAGTCTGATAATACAAGTCACCTTCTCAATTCAACATCTTCAAATGTCTTTTTTGTTAGTTTGTGGGGGTGTACTTCTGTATGAATATAGAATCTGAGGCAAAAACAGTTTATAGTTCTAAGAAGCACGAAAGTCAATATTTGCTCTGACCATCTTAGGCTTCTTGTCATGTCTTTGGGAATAGCTCTGCAGGGCTCTTTGAAGGAGATTCAATGCCATTGTTTGGATGTTGGCTACTTTTTTCCCCCCCCAATCCATGTCAACATGATACAACAATGCTTCAGTAATAATGAGGCCTGGGCTCTGGGGAGGCCAATCCATGACTGATAGTGTTCTACAGTGTGTTCTTCTACCCAGGTATGCTTTTACTGTATTGCTTGTGTTTTTTTGGGTCATTGTCATGCTGAAAAATTAAGGTGTTGCCAATCAGATGCACTGCTGATGGTTTTACGTAGTAGATCAACATCTGTGCTAATTGTGTTCATAATTCTATCAAATTGGACAAATTTCTCAATTGTACTGGCTGAAATGCAGCCCCAAACTGCAAAACACTCACTGTGGTCACTTTCTCCTGAGTCCTCCTCATATTAATGACAATTTGTACAAAAAACGTCAAATTTTCTTCATAAGACCTGTTCCCACTGATTTTCAGTCCAGGTTTTGTATAATATGGAATACCTCAGCCTTTTCTTCCTGTTTACCCATCTTAAGAATAGCTTCTTATTACCCACCCTTCCACTGAGACCACTTCTGATGAACCCAGTGAACAGTAGATGGAACAACTAAAGGGTCAAATGCATCTCTCAGATCCTGTGTCGGGTCTTTGTTGGATTTATTTATTTATTTGCTATTTCTTAAGGATATAACTTTCAGATATCTGGTCTGAAAGTTATATCCTACCACTTATTTTGCCAGGTTTCCTCAATTTTCTTCCATGCACTCTGCACGGCATGCTACGATATGCCAAGTTTTCAGCTACTAACTCTTTGTAGTCATCTTGATGGTGCAAAATTACTATTTTAACCCTGTGTGAGACTGGAGGACTGCTGCTCAAGAACCCCTTAAAAATAGTACAGAAATTTCTGGCTGACTGGAAGCAAAACATAATTAAATGAGGAGTGGCTTAAGACTTTTGCACAGCTCTGTCACTTACGTTACTAATTTTCAAACATTTTTACTTTTATTTAAAGTAATTGTCTTTCAATATAAGGCACATTGAGTATTAAATAAATAACTACATTACATTCAACAAATACATTCCATCTGTTATAATCAAGTTATTACACATGGTATATTAAAATGCAATATTTTGGTTTTGTTTGTAAAAACTACGCAATTTTAGAATCTTATTTGGCTCATTAACCTAGAATGACTAATTCTCATGAAAATTTAGGACTGATGGAGGAATATTAAGAACAGTGGACATTTTTGGGGGCCAACCACAACAACAATTTAAAAAATTGACAAAAATGTTTCAAAATCCAAACGGCCCATTTTGAAATGAATTATAAACAAATAGACCTACACCTAAGCCTACAGCAAACTATTCGTCTAAGTGCTAAGTAA